GGTATCTCCAGAAGCTCATACAGGAACAACCACATAAGCAGAACCGCGCGCCCGTCGCTGTAAGCCAGCCGTCGTCGGCGTAGATCCGGTGAAGTAGACCCATGAAGCGGCCCATGACACGATGGCACGATCGTACCGCCACACCAATCACTCGTCCAAACCAATACGCTGCACTTGCAATGCCGAAAGTTCCACGAGTGTGGACATAGATTTTTGCGTGGATTCGCCCGGCGTCCGAAATGCTTGCAACCCCCAGTCTTCCTCACGAACTGGTATCAGCCTGTGCGCTCGAGCGATGTCGTACAGGACCGAAAAGCGCACAGCCTCCTGCTCTGACTGTCTCTCCTCCCGAATCCCGAACCTGCCTCAAGACAGCTGCTGCGTCGTCTATCAGCGGAAATCTCATCAGGCCCCTACCCGAATGCGTCGGTTGACATCAACACTGTAGGTCCCGTCATGGATCAGCCTGACGCGCCCCAACTCTTTGGGCGCGGCCCCCAGCGCTGCCACCGCTATAGGCGCCCACCGAAGCGACGCTTGGCCTCTTCTTCCTCAAGATGGTGCCCTTTTCCACCTCCTCGAGCACCTGGCGTGCAATGTCGGCGGCATTCTCCTCAGCTGAAGCAGATAGTGCGACAAGGTGTCCTGGAAGTCCTCGTCCGTAGGATCAACCGTCCACTTCCGCTTCTCCTCATAAACCAGAGGCGTTCTAGGCATCTCCATATCGACGCCCAGTGGGACTCCCTGCGCGGCCACATCGTCCAAGAAGCCGGCATCCTCGTCCCCCAGAACCGTGGCCACTGCCCGAAGCCGCCGAAAATTTATCTCGGAAGCTCTATCGCCCTTTCTTCTCTCGGGGCCATGCAATTCTCCTTCAACCACAAGTCCAGCCTCTCGCGGAACCCGTAGATCTCTCCTCCGAAGGGTGCGCCGCCCAGTTTGCCAGCCGCGGTCGACCAAAAGATGCCTTTTGCTCGCTCCTCGCCTTCCAGTTCTACCCAATCTTGAAAGGCTTTCAGGAACCACCTCGCCAGCTCCCGACCTTTCTCAGTCACTGGCGCCGTCCTTCTGCCCACCGGCCATCTTCCCGGTGAGCACAAGCCAGCCCCGTCATGTATGGGCCTGAGCAAGCCCTTGTACTTTGTCTGCATGGGTGGGCCAATGCCCGGACGACCAGCTGTAGCCCCAGCCGCTTCTGCCATGCCTAAGGTTGCACTGTTGTTGTACAATGCATTGCCACTGCTGCTCGCCGACCCACTACTTTTGCTCAATGTTGCACTGCCCAATGTACCCTTGTCGCTGTTCAATGTTGAACTGTCCAACGCACCCTTGTTGTTGCTCAACGCTGCACCGCTCAATGTTGCGCTGTCCAATGCACCCTTGTTGTTGCCCAACATTGCACTGCTCAATGTTGCACACGTTGCACTGTTGCACGCACCCTTGTGACTCACCTTGCAACGTTTCTGCGCCCTCTTTTCTCCCCCCTCTTCAGTCAAAGAGGGTGCAGCCTGGAGAGAGGAGAAAATGGCTTGAGCTATGGCTCGATCCATCCGCTCAGGATAGATGGAAGTGGCAGTAGTCTGAAAGGTATCATCTTGCGCAGTACGGGCCAAGGACACCGAAGGTGCACATTGGCAGAGGTCGCGTACTGGCCCCGTGTAGCTGCCATCACTGGAGAACTCAGGCCATGTGAGTGGCCCCCAATCAGCGAGATTCGCCAACAACCGTGTAGGTTTGCGGTAAGGCGCACCCCAACAGCACTGAGTGAATGCAACTGTAAACAGATGAAGTGGGTTTCCTGCGCGAAGACAATGGCGCAACTCGGGCAATTGCCAGATAGAGGCTGGTTGCATTCTCATATAGTCTTCTTCCCGCCCCAAATCCTCGGGATGCTCCCCGAAGATGAGAACCAGATCACCCTCACGTGTAGTGGGATGCTGCTCCAATGTTTGACCTTCAGCATAAACTGGATCAGGACATTGCCAAGGTCTGCATCTTTTCAATGCCTCTTCGACAGCCAGGGAAAACCCCAAGGATGTTCTCGGGATCTGATCATTGGCGGGCCACGACAATTGGCCCCTCTCACTCGGGACCAGGTAGAGCAGGGTGGCGTGATGAGAACCACGTGAAACAAGCCTTTTTCAAGCTCCTGCCATAGTTTGTCTTGTAGGGATCTGTCTGCGAGATCCCACTCGGGTGAATTCTGTATATCAACTTCACGCACTTCAAACTCTATGTTGGAGCCCACGGCCAGCTCTCGAAGAACAGAGGCCACTGAGGCCTTTCTATGTGCTCCACTGAACAGGTAGAGGACCCGACATTTGCGTGTGCCCCTCGTTGCGCTTTGTCTTTCCACTGGGGGAAGTGGGGCTGCCTCCCCCGTAGCGCCTCCTCAAGCGCTCTTGCTTGCCTCGGCTGGCCACCCAGCCGTGCCCTTCTTTCCGCTGCCATCACATGCGTGCATTGGATGATCTAGACTCTTCTATCTTTTTGGTCCTCTAGGACCTTCAACTCCCGAACGTGACACTTCTCTTCGATCGACGTCTTCGCGCCGACGATCCCTGCCACGCCCTGCCAGGTGCGGTTTTGTTTTGGCGCGAGATCTTGCTATACAGTCTCGGTCATCCCGTGCTTTCGCGATCCGATTCAGTCATCTCCGATGAGGAGACTTCTCCCGAGGATTCTTCCTCGAGAATGCTCTTTGCCTCAGCATCCCTCTTGCCGAAGCACTGTTGGCATGCCCTGTGACACTTCGCCGTACTGGGAGCTTCTTCTCCCAGTACCTCAAAAGTGGCGTAGTGCACACCCGGTTGTCGGCAACACTCCCCTACTCTGTGGAGGGTTCTGGTCTTTGGCCCCCCACAATGGAAACGACGAACATGCCCCTCACCCGCTCTAGCGGCGTGACTTCGGTCGCCTCCTCCGCGAGCTCTTCGTCGTTGTCTTCGACGGCTGCCATCGCATTTGCTTCTACCTTCACTTCCACGGTGTCATCTGGCTCTTCCACCAACACTACCGGGCCTGAGGTGGTCCAGTTTGGCCTCTTGCATGCCTTCGCTGCTCCTTCCCCTGGCATGAAGGTCATCAGCCTCATCATCTGATCGTCACAATCTTCCTGGCCGTAGCCCATGCCACGCATCCTCTGCTCAACCAATTGCACCACCGTGGTCTCATCGAACGGATCCGAGCAAGCCATGTTCTCTTTGATGAACATTGCCATGACCTTCTGGTAGCTGAGCACGTTCGTCTTGACATTCCTCTCGTACCCCTCATCTGCCGATGGTCTCCATCTGCCGACCATCTTCCTCACATCCTCGGGTATTCTAGCAGCCTAGGCCCACGTGCGTATTGTCGCACGCTCGCTGTGTTCTGTCCACAGCACCCCAATGACCCTTCTCTTTCGCCCCCCAAGCACCACTGTCACAGCAGTCTTCCAGCCCACAGCGAGCCAGGACTTCTCGCTTATCCAGGCGTCCTTGTTGACGTAGAAGGGCAAAAGCACAACCTTCTTTCCTGGGCCCGACGATTTCGATCGGTGGACGATGCCTTTCAGGCCCCACTCCGACATCTCCATCGTCTGACTGGGTGTGCCCTTTGCGTCATCGAATCTCATCCCAATCCATAGCTTCACAAGCCGAAACCAGGCGTAAGCCCTTTCATAGCTGCGCACCGATTCATCGCAGACATAGGCCTCCCATGCCACTACCAGCGACACTGGTATCAGAAGCGCCTTTCTGGACTCCGGGATCTCCACGCTTTGCAAACGGAGTGCAGCCTCCTCCAGGGCGTTCTTGAATGACACTCGCGTTTTCCCCACTCCACTCCACTCCCCACCGCTGACGACCGGCACACCTGCTCGTTCTCTGGCACTTCACCTGCATGCTCCAGGTTGAAGACCGACTCTGGGAAGGACCTGGCGCATGGCTCCTCGACCATGGCTTCCAGGAACTCTGCGAATTGCTCCGGCGACTCGGGCCATGTCGTGCCATACGTCGCCTGCGTCCATCTAGCAGCTTTGTGCCACATCTTGACGTGCTTGCGGAGCGTGTTCGGGCGACGCCCCTTCGCCACCCGAATGAGTGGTGGACAAGGGAGGGTGGAAGGCCCTGAACGCGTAGCCATTTGGAGAAGGCGGTTTGGAAAGTGAGGAAGTACCTGGCTTTGCTGGGGTAGAAAGTGCTATTCATGTTCGCTGCAAGAAAGATGCGTAGGTGTGGAGGCAATTGTAATTGATCAAGGGTGAGAATGTAGTGGTCGTTGATGGTGGAGGTGGCCGGATCAAGAAGCAGTGTGCGGAGGTGGGCACAGGCACAGGGTAGGTCACTGGCTTGTGGCGGAGTGTGGAGGGTATCTTCCCAGGTGCGATGGTTGTGGAGCTGTGCTCGCAATGTTTTGTGTGCGGCTTCACGTAGGTGTAAATTTGGCGTGTCGCTGGGGACCGGGATGCTTGGTGGTGTCCACGAGCCTCATCTTACTACATCCGTAGCAACAACTCTAGAAACGTGAGTCTGCACGTATACTTGTAACATCTTGAATAAGGCCATAAGACTCTCAGATGACCTTATACACATCTCTTACTTCTACATACAGTAACCTTTCCTTCCACGCTCCCAGGCCATCCGTCGCCTAGTTTTCTATTTCCACAGAGAGAGAGAGAGAGAGACAGAGACAGAGAGACATTACTCCAAGCGATAGAATGGGCACATAGAAACTACATACATTCCAGGAAACCCAAGAAACGCAAAAGCTGAGATTCTGTGTAAATACCCTGAGAACCGTCCAAAAGGTGGATTTTTGGGATTGAACAGGGCCTGCTTACTACCAGCTACTTAAGCTTACCACCGCCTACCCGCCGTTGCCCCGTTTAAGTTAAGTTTCCCCAAAAATCTAGGAACCAAATGACTAGTGCGTGAGCTATCCTGCGTCCTACCTAAAAGCAAGAATGAAAAAACTGGACCGAAGCCGAGCGCTAACAGCACTAGCTACCCGAAGCCCGGCTCCCGGAGGCGAAGTCGGTCGCCAGCAGTCAACGCTTCCAAGCTTCCGCGGAGCACCTGCACGCCACGAAAAAATGGCGTTTCATTTAACCTCTCTGCAAGGACCTGAAAATCAATAGAACCCATCCAAGAAACAAAGGAAAAACATAGTACAGAGGACCTGCTCTGGAAAGTTGGAATTCAAAACAGTCTCCTTAACTTTACAAAAACTAGACTCTAGACTCTGCCGTTTCAAATTTGCCACACAAAGACTTCTTTCTTTGAGGTCCAGAAGTTTGTAAATCCAGGCGAGATCCTAACATACTCCTCCACCTGGCAATCACAGGACCTGACCCATACTGTCTTATCACTGTGTCCCCCAAAGTCTGGCAGGCCTTGGCCGGTGCAAAACCTGGGATTCAATGAGCACAAGTTCATCAGAGAGCGAGAGCAGTGAGAGATCCGTTCACAACTTGGAGCTTGCACCGCTGTGACAGCAAATGATAGCAGGCTAAAGTCCGAAACCTGCCATCAGAACTTTTTGAACCTGCCATTGCAATGGCAGGAAACCGGTTTCGACCCCGTTCATGACATCTCGACGCAGGCCACGAAAGAAGTCCACGATGACTTGATTTATCCTGGCAATCTAAAGCTTCCAATCTTGTGCTTGGTCTTCCATCATCAATGATCTCTTGCTTGTCAGTGACAAGGCTTTATCCATTGCGAGATGCTTCGCCAAGACCATGCCAGTGCGACTGAATCGAGGTTCCGTCGCGGGCCTGGCGAAAAAGTCAAGAGCAAAGCACCGAGGGCCTGGCAAAGATTTATGCTTTGTACATGCTCCAGGCAGTCCTTGCTTGCGCTGCGTCCCCCTTTGCTCTAATCCAGTGGGACTCGTCCCCGGCCTGCTTGGCCAAGGTCACTAAGTTTGCGAGTCGGTCCCACCTTATTTGGCAATGCGTTCGGTCCCTAGCAAGCTTGTCATGAGATATCTTCCAAGCCTCAGTTTGACATCTTGGGTTCCCACTGTAGGACAGGTCTATCATCTCCGCTGAAAATGATGCTCAGTAATTCCCGCCTGCGCGACTGCAGGAATTCCAAAGTAGTTCGTTTGCAACATGGCTCAGAATGCATAAATCCACCTGTGGGTCAGGTGCTTGCAGGGCTGACTTACAAAAGGTCAAAAGTAGGTGAGGACCTTGTCAGCTGCTAGCAGCTGGAAGCATAAACCATCATAAGTGACTTGAAACAATTCTGTCGCATGTCTATGTCTCTCAAGTCTTCCACAAACCTGTCAATGAAATGCCACCAACGGAATCTTTGGCCTCAACGTTGGGTTGGGATTGCTCAACAGCCTCTTCGAAGCATATGGAAGAGCCACCTGCTGCATTGACTACGGTAGCTGTTTCCAAGAAAATTATGTATATATATATATATTTTGATTCTAAAGTTTGCTGCAAAAACCTTATAGTATCTTATAGTTTCAATTGTTCATCTGAAAACTTGAAAATGCAGGAGATTCACATCCGTTAGGTCATAAGAAGAGGTGCTTGGCTCTGCGACTCTGCGACCACCAGTTTTTGGATTCGGAAACATGTTCTTTTGTTTTTTCTGTTTTTTCTTTATATATTTTTTCTGTCGGTCTGTCGGTCTGTCTGTCTGTCTGCCTGCCTGCCTGTCTGTCTGTCTGTCTTGCTGTCCTTCCTTCCCTTCCTTCCCTTCCTTCCCTTCCTTGACTTCCTTCCCTTCCTTCCCTTCCTTCCCTTCGTTCCCTTCCTTTCCTTTCGTTCCTTCCGTTCCTTCCGTTCCTTTCTGTCCTTCCTTTCCTTCCTTTCCTTCCTTTCCTTCCTTTCCTTCCTTCCTTTCCTTCCGTTCCTTCCTTTCCCTTCCCTTCCCTTCCCTTTGTTTCCTTTCCTTCCTTTCCTTTCCTTTCCTTGCGTTTCCTCCTTTCTTTCCTTCTTTCTTTCTTTCCTTCCTCCCTTCTTTCCTTCTTTCCTTCCTTCCTTCCTTCCTTCTTTCCTTCCTTCTTTCCTTCCTTCCTTCCTTCCTTCTTTCTTTCTTTTTTTTTCGTTCTTCCTTTCTTTCTGTCTTTCTTTGCAGCCAAGCCTGCCTCAATGATGCTGAAGTCTGGGTTCAAGCACCTCACTACGCAGACTGATGTCAGAAAGTAATGACTTGAATCACTGACGGGAGCATGGACCCAAGACTGTTCTGTCAGTTCCTGACACAGGCCTCAACAATGGAGGTCTTGCAATCAGGGCACATGCAAATCCCCTCTTGCATCAGCAAAGAGCGGATCACCAAAGAGAACCTATCAAGGAACCCAAGGCGAGCGAGCATTCAGACAAAAGAACCAAGCACTGCCAAGGGATGATGCAGCTTACGCTTGGCAACACGCTGCCTTTCAGGAATGCGTATTGGGAACTGGTAAACAAGCTTTGAAAAGCGCCCAGTGACCTTGGAGGCCCAGCTGCAACAGCCAAAACGAAGGCCAAAACTTGAGTACTTGCAGACAGACACTAGAAGCGATGGCCTCCAACCTACAAGCGATATCCTCCAACCTCAAAGCGATGGCCTCCAACCTAGAAGCGATGGCCTCCAACCTATGGCCTCCAGCCTAAAGGCGATGGCCTCCAACCGAATTGCGATGGCCTGCAACCCAGAACCGATAGCCTCCAACCTACTAGCAACGATGGCCTCCAACCTAGGGGCGGTGGCCTCCAACCTCATAGCGGTGGCCTCAAACCTAGAAGCGATGGCCTCTATCTAACCTAGAAGCGATGGCCTACATAAAGGTTGCCGGTGGGCTCACAACTGCAAGGCAATTGGATCACTTCCGCGTGGAGGATCACTTACGCATCGATTTGAAGAGCACTTGCGCATCGATGGCTATAACATCGCATCTCACATCTGCGCGCGACCGTTACAGATGGCCATCTCTGCGGTCTAAGGGTTGCCATCGATGACTAACCTGATAAGTTGGGAGTCGCGTGTGTGCGCGCGTGTGTGAAACCTTGGAGTCATAGGGAACCTGCTGGTTTTTATGTTAACTGCAGGCGGCACAAAAACACCTATCTCTTGCTTGCGATATCGACGGGGAGACGTCCTGTCGACGTACCTGCAATTTCTGTGGCGTTGAGCACACCACCACCAAAACAACCTCCCGTTTTTATTCGCCGCTGCCGCAACCTCTCCAACAAGCAACCACTGAACAATACAGCTGGCTCGAGGTTACCGTGCCTCGTCCACACTGCAATGGCAGACCATTACCATAAAACCCCTCAGTTCCTCGCACCACCACCAGCCTTTGATCCTTTCTACTTTCCACCTCCTCCCCATCCTGCACCACAGCCCCTGTTCCCTCCACTCCCACCTATTCCTGCTGCCACACTCAATGATGCCCAGACAACCACACTGGCTGACGCGATCCTCCGGATCGCGCAAAGCGTCTCTGAAGCGACCGTGGCGCACAAAACTACGGGCTAGCAACCTTCATCTGTTGTTTCATCCTGCGACCACAGTCGCTGCAAAACATGAGATCATCAGCAGTTTTTCTTTTTCCGTTCCTACAATCTTTCATTCATAACCTTTTTTCAACCAGTCACGCTTCATCAGGATTAACATTTTCTCCCGTAGCCATTTTGCCACCGAGCTTGTTATCACCTTCCTGCTCTCTCCCCACTTATCATCACCTCTGCCACGAGCGCCCCCGCGCCACCAGAGGAAGGATTTGATACAAGTTTTTGGGCGTGGGCTTATGCCCACCGGCCAGGCTCTTTGCTCGCCGTGTTGACGGACGTGAGCGTCCATCGGTTTCAACTTACCGGAGTTCTGCACAACGACGCCACGCTGCAAGATTCTGGCACGACCCTTTCCAGCAAGAGCCACCCAGCCCAGTTGGCGAGCTTTTTCAGCGCTATCGCCTTCACATGAACAACGCCGACACACAGGTCCGCCGTGCTCTGCAAATTGTAGACACAATTGGACGCTTTCCTGTCAGCGCCTTCATCGACCCCAACACCCACCCCACAGAGCCACCTATTCACCCCATCCTGCCAGCGGGCAGCGGTTTGGCTCCAGCATTCCGCCAACATTCCCTATCGACTTCCCACTCACACTGTTGCTGCCACTCACCACATCACCACCCAAACCTCACCTCCTCTTTCACCTCTTCTCCTCCACACTGCACAACGAAGACTGGGAGTGGGTGATGTGGCTGAAAGTGGGGAAAGTTGGCTGTGGAGACGTGTGTTGTGGTGGAAGAAAAGTGTTGCTGGGCCGCGGTGAGGCGGCGCTTCCGCGCGTGGTCGGCTGTGAGGTCGCCCGCGGGTTGGTGTCTGAGGATCGACCTCGTGCTGGCGCGCCGCCACTTGGGTTGCGATAGTCGCTTGGGAGTGCTGGTGGTGGTGGTTTTGGGACAGTGGGTCCCGGGATGAGGTGGTCGGAGTTGGGCTGCTTGTTCGCAGCTGAAGTAATGGTCGCGACCGGAGAGGGCTCGGGTGGGGCGTCCAAATGCAGGGTAAAGTGGCAGGGCGTGGAGTTCAGTCTGTGAGGGTGATGGGAGGTGTAATGTGCGACTGTGGTGCCTGGGCGGTGGCAAAAGCCGCGGAAACGCGATGGGTACCGGCCCAGATGACCGGCTCTGTCTGCTGCTCAATGTGGAGTCGGCGGGGTGGTGGTGTGGTTTGTTGCGCTTGATGGAGAAGGAGTGGTGAGAGAGGTGGCAGCGCCTCGGTGGCGGCCACCTGCACCTACTGCCTCCCCATCAGCACCCACTTACCAAGCACCACCACCGCCACATCCATGGCCTGCTCCCATGGCAGAACACCACTAACCCCCACACTTTGATTCCTCTGGACGTCCGCTCCCACTCAGTCAGCAGCCCTATGTTCCTGAAGATGACCCGCGGCATGCCGACAACAAGTGATCGGGCAACTCGCTGTCCATGAAAGCGCGACAGTTCCCCAGCAGTGGGAAAATCTTTTGGGTCCTGATATTTGATTTCTATTTTTTGTAATAAGAGCAAACTAGTTTGGCATCAAATCGTTGTCTCATAACGGACGCTTGTTCGCCTCACCTTCTGATTTTCGTGAAGAGGACCAACCACTATGCACCACTGCTCTCCAAGATCTCAGGTCTCACCCGCACCGCGAACAAAAGTTGATTTGATCGCTTGAGACTTTTTAACTCCTCTTTTTGAGAGTGTAGCTGCGGATTTGTCGTGATTGACCACTGATTGTCTTTACTTTACTGCGTCTCATATTGCTCACTGCTCACCGTCACTTTTTTGCCCAGTTTCATCTAACAGCTATTTTGCTCGAACACGTTTGCTTTCGCTCCCTCAGCCACCCGTTTCTCATCTCTTCGACATGGACGCGCAGTGGCAACAGCATTATTCGCAGCACTATCTCCAACAACAGGCGCAGACCACACAGGCGCCCTCCCAGTACACGCCCACACACACCTATGGGCCGATGACTCACGCCATTCGCACCCACCAGGCACATCAGCATCAACCTTACCACCCATCTCCATACCACAGCCTCTCCTCCTGCGCACCACGAGTTTCCTCCGCCTCCTCCTCCCCCGGCGCCAGCCGCCACACCAGCAGCACCCGTCACCCCCACCGTCACCTCCTTCAATCACAGCCATACGCACTCTACTCAACCGGCACCTCCTCCCGCCGTCCCCTTTCCCAAACCACCAACTCAGGAATCCTGGCGCTCCACTGACACTCATTGGGATACCGCACCCCCCAGCTCCAACTGATCTACCCTGCGCTTGCCAACATCTCCGTACCCTCCTGCTGGATCCCACCTGCACCACTACAGACGGACACTACATTCTTACCCCGGACCAACTGCATCTACCACCTCACTTGCGCATTTTCCTAGATGCCAACATGAGCAGCACTTTCTACCCCGCAAAAGCTTGCTACTTCCTCACTTTTCAAGCTGCCTTTCGAAAAATGGCTCCGCACCCAAGGCTTTCCACCATCCCTTGACCAGCACATTGAACCTTTCCTCCAACACCAACGGCGTCTTCATGTCGCCCACCTCAAACAACAGCCACGCTTTACTGCCCGGCTCCTTCGTCAGCAGCAACAATTCCTTGGTGACAAAGTTGTCCTCCACCATGCAGACCATGAGCTTCAGCAGCTCCGCGTTTTCTGCCCACAACGATACTTCAAAGGCGCTCTCAACACTTGGCAAGCACCCGAACTGTTCCAACCATTACCCCACCTCACATTACACAACATTCAGGGCCACATTACTGCCACAGTCCCCACCAGCCTTCGAGCCCGTTACAAGTGGGTTCCGCAAAGACTTCACTATCCCCTACGGCATTGTCCATCTCAAGGCCAAGAAACAGTGGCAGAAAGGCCGCACCATCATCTCTTACTACCAATCACTCGCCGGCAACCTCCTCCGCATCACTAGCAGAGCTCTCGACATCACCCTTCAACACCTTTTCCCTCAACATCCAGGCCAGCTTTCCATCCCACAACTATGGCACCACTTCCACGCATATCTCTCCCAAACTCCCGCCGACATCACCCTACATGCCACCAATGATGGCCTGGTTGGCTTCTTCAACTCTGTTCCCCAACACCGTTTGATCGACGCTGTCCACTCCCTCGTCCAGGAACGGCAGATCCAGCACTCCACACACACCGGCAACCCCTACCACCATTCCCACATTGGTCGCCACCATACCAGGCATCCTACACAACGCACCATCCACACTTCCGACATCACTACCATTGTAGCTTTTGCGCTCAACACTTGCATTTTCCGGGCTTGCAACCACACTTACAAGCAGATCCGGGGCGCTGGGATTGGCTCCCAGTTGTCCCCAGCCCTATGCAACGTCGCCATCGCACTTATTGAGCATTCCTGGCAGCAGCTACACAACAACTTGCTTCACCACACAGATCTCCATTTTACATACTACTGCTATGTGGACAATCGGTTTATTGTCCACAAGGAACACTTCCTGTCCCATCCAGCCATATAAACCCTCATCCATCACAACTTTTTCGGCGATCCGGTCGAACTTGAAACAGTGGATGACTTTCACCTCCTCGGATTCAACATTGACCTCCCTCAGCGTACCATCACCTACATACAACCCAATCAACCTTGGAAAATCCGAGATGCCACCAGCGCCGGGAGCAAAAGGCTCACACTCTCAGGCCCTGCGTCACAACTCCACACAATTTACACCTACACTTACCCAGCACACGCAGCGGATGCAGCGGCCGACGAGCTCATCAACCTCTACGTCCTCAAGGGACATGCAACAACAGACTGCCAGAGATTTTTGAAGTCAAAAAGACCGCCATTTTTCCACTTGCGCCGGTACCGGCACCGTGTCTGTCCCCCTCTGTTTCCAAGATTTTGATTTGTTTCCACCGCAATTTCAAGGGGGCAAGGCCTCCAGCGATGAACCTTGTC